GAGCGACACGGTAGTGCCAAGCGGGAAACAAGTCTCCAGAGAAAACCTGTAGGTGTTGCTCGAGCGGCCAGCGCTAGTTAAAATGCGGCGACTTTTCTTCCCGGTCCATTATTTCAACCTATTCAACTCTAATACAAATTTCAACTCCCAATGGGCTTCCAAAATAGAACTTTCACTTAACATAGGACTCCAATAGTATTTCAAACTAAATTCTTCTTGACGTGCACTTCAATTAGAATTTTTCAATTACTTCAACAAGGAAATTCGAATCACACCCAAATTTCAACAAGAAATCGAAATACTGATACATAGTTGTTTAATCAAGATGATGTTTTGCTCCTTGTTTGGGCTATTCTAAATTATCATACCATGACTAGGAGCTAGATATTGGCATGTTGGATATTTTGCCTTCATGTCTGTGGGGACATGTTGAGTCGATGTATTTTCCATTTTGAAGAAGCTACTAGTTTCGCTTCATGTTTCATGCATTAAGTATATTTTTCATTCTTTTCGACTTTGAATTTGACCTTTCATATTTTTTGTATTCTTTCGTATTTTGAATATGACCTTGCATATTTTCGAAAATCAAAGATGAAATAAGTAGGTTGCAAGAAAAATGGCAAACAGATGGTCAAACATTTTCTCTTTCTTGTACATCGATCTTTTCAAAAAAGATTTTAAGNACCCAAATGCTTGGTTTGGTAACTTTAAGTCCTCGCTTCTTGTTTATTGATCTTGTGAGTGTTAGGGAGGATTGTCTTAAGATAAATTAAACAATATCTATTTTAACAAAAAAAAAAAAGAAAAAAGACAAAAAAAAGACTTCCAATAAAAGATCTTGAAAATATCGTAAATATTTATATTCCATAGAAAATCCCTTTTTGTATATGCTCCTTGTAGTGACAATTTGTGGTACAAGTTAAGCTACACACAACTTTGATAGGTATTTACATAGGAAAAAAAAAGGTTAAATGCCTTTAAGAAAGTCGTATAATATCTAGTGTTAAAAGAAACGGCTTAAATCAACCCATTCAACTAAAAAAAATGAGACTATCTGAAATCTGATTTGGATATAGGTCAAGAATAAATATTATGTACTAATAAAATAACTAATGAACCATCTAGTTCAACTTCAAAACAAGCAGTGTCGAATTCTGAATTTTATTTAATTATGCAATTATTATTAGCGGTTTTTCCTTTCAATGTTGATCATATTGTAACATCCCAAACTTTTAGTGGTTTTTAGGATTTTCTACAATTTTTTCTCTAGGAAATTCAATGCTACAATGAAAATTAGGGCAAAATATCGAAAATGGTGCTAAGAAGGTTTATTTGCTAAAATTTAGAAATGATTGTGCAAGTTTTTGCAACTATTGTGCAGTTGTGGATAAGGATGGCTACCAGGCGTACGTAAGTATGAATAATTATGAATAAATACGATCAATAGGATCTCGTCAAGCAGCACACTAAAGGATACATTATTTTATAGAAATTTTAAAAAGACATTTACACTCATAACCTTACTTCTACAAATAGTTGCTCCTTTCATTTGAAAAATTACAAACTCTTTTGAAGGAGCTCTTGTAAATGTGTTAATCATGTAAAATTTTAGAAAGGACAGTATAAATGCTTCCTCGGCTTGTGGTATTCCCAAGAGTGAAATCTACGGGGTGCGAGTCAACCCTCGGGAAGAGGGTGTTTGGGTTGTTGACACCCAAATCTCCCAATTTCCCTCATCTTCCAATTTAGTGCTTTAACCCCCGAAACCACTTTAGTTTGAACAATTTAAACAAGTAATGATGACATGAGATGACCAAATAACTCCAAAATATTTGGTGAAAGCAAATTCGGACTTACGTGTGCATACTATGGTGAATATTGGTAACTGATCTTGGCCCTACGAATGTGACTAAGGGATGAATGTAATAATCGAAAGCACTCCAGTACTTCAAGATAAAAGGAAGTGTTAATTGAACCCTACTAGAGCAAGTGGGATCAGAGAAGAATTGGACAATCACCCCCAAGTCAGTCAAAACCCATCGTCTAAAAGAGCCTGAAGAGGCAATTCGTGGACTTTGGCTAGTTTTTGTTTTCTAACTCAAAATCTAGCTCAATTTTTGACCGGTAGACTTCAAAACTTTCGAGCATGTTTGGCATAATGTACTCCATAGAGTCATGACTTGAGTGGTTCGAGATTTAAGATAATGTAATTCAAATGAACGGTGGTACAGAGTGTACATATAAAACCGTCCCACTAAAAAAATTTATAGTGACTAAATCTCTTTGTAACTTTTAAGTCAACCACGTAAGTTCTTAACAACAAACAAATTAAGTTCAAGTCTCAGTTTGGTAAAATTTATATTAAGGCCTCGTTTGTTTCCCATTATTTCAGAATATTGTTTGCTACGGTAAAATTCTCCACCACACATTCACCCAATAAAATATTCTAAACACAAATCAATAAAGTTATTTTAAATTTCAATCACACGTTCTCCAAAAAATACTATTCATTACTCAATTTCTTCTACAATAATTAGACAAACACATACTAAATAAATTGTCAAACTTTACTTTTAATCGCACGTTAAATGGACCCAAAATTAATATCTGCTTGATTACATGGGGATGAATTTTTTGTCAATGTTTGCTCATCGGATGGATTAAAAAACCAATTATTCAGTTGAAGGTCAGGCAAGTAAAGTGCAGTGTCTCTTGTTCAACTAGGCTCGTTTTGTTGACTTATTTGGTTTCCATTCTGTCTTTCTATATTAGCTGTCCATTTTTTTATCTCTCCTCAAAAATCTCAAGCCAAAGAATTTGTCCAAGCCTCAAAGTTTGATCAACATC